TCTCAATTATATTGATTCATATTTAGTATAATTTAGCAGGATGTACCATTGAGTTCATACCATTTAGGTATATATGGTTAGTGGTAAATTGGAGATTAGTTAGTGGGTATTACAGAACTAATAGCAAACTCAATGATTTGGGGGATTATGTTTAAACTACTAAAGATTTGATGAGGCTGATGTAAAGATTTGATAAGAACAATACAAAAAAAAAGAAAGAAAAAAAGAATAGAATTTGCTCTCATTCGACCATCAATCGAATCGACCACCCTCATTCGCTCGGCTGTTCTGACAACTTGTGAAGCTGACTAGAGAGGCAGTATTTATCGTCCATCTCACAAGCCAAATCAAGAGGTGATTTGACCTCGAAAGCGAAGCTAATAGCTATCCTTTATTTTCATCATGAATGCCACTCAGTCCTTGGTTTTAATAAAAAGAAATGGACAAAGAGAAATGGACCTGGTTGGCTCTAACAAAAAGAAACGGACCTGGCATCACATCCTTGGTTTAACTTTATCATTGGAAGAAAAAGAACGATGCATGGTCTTAATAAAAAAAACAATTGACGCTTGACTTTGATAAAAGAAGTGGATGCTTGGCTGTAACCCTTTATCTTGGTCTCAACAAGTCGATAATCACCATCTCAACAGAACCTGCAAGAAAGAAAAACGAAGAGGGAGTGGAAAAAAAAAATCAAATATGGTGGTTGTCGGAGATGTGATTGCAAGCAAAATCATTGAGAAGCTGGTGGAGGTTGGGTTTGACTACGCAGCAGACCAGTTTTTTGCTCGGCGAAGACGAATGAACGACGAGCTTCAAAGGCTCAAGGATGCTCTTCCTCGTATCCGAGCTGTCGTAAACGCAGCGGAGAGCGGGCAAGGAGAAATAACCGGAGATGACCTCGACGAATGGCTATGGCAACTTAAGGGTGCTGTCTACATGGCCAGTGACGTCCTCGACGATCTCGATTATACTGACATACAGAAGCGAGCGGAGGCGGATGCTGCAGGAAGCGGACCTCGTGGCAGCAAGGTGAGCGGTTTTATTTCCGATTCTAAACGAAGAGTTTCCAAGTTTAGTAAAAGAGCCTTTAAATCCGACCCCACCCTCGAGAAGCTAAGGGGGGCTGTCAAGAGGCTAAGTGAAGTGGCGGCAGGCGTTGAAGTTTTTAACCGTTTAGTAACAGAGCGTAACCAACAACAGCAGCAGCAACAACAGCAGCAAGAACAACTTCGTGAAACTGGACCTATTGTAAGGGAGAGAGATGTGCTGGGAAGGGATGGGGATAGGAAGGAAGTGTTACAGTGGTTGACGAGGGCGCCCATCGCTAATGAGGATCACGAGGGCATCTCTCTTTTCTCCATTGTGGGCCTCGGAGGAGTTGGAAAGACAACCCTTGCACAAGTCGTCTACAGGGATGACACCGTACAGAGTTCCTTTGGCATCAAAATCTGGGTGTGTGTCTCCACCGGCTTTGATGTTAAAAAGATTACGGGAGACATCCTAGAATACGCTGCACAAAGGAGACCGGACGTCGGAGGACTTGGCCCACTACAGGAAGCTCTCGAGGCCTTGGTGTCATCTAAGAAATTTCTCCTCGTCTTGGATGACGTTTGGAACGACGACGATCTCTCTAGTTGGCAGACGTTGTTTGCTCCGATGAGGTGTGGACTTGAAGGAAGTAAAATCATTTTAACTACCAGATCGAAGAAGGTCGCCGAAATGGCTACACTAGCTTTGGGAGGGATGGCAAATGAGCCAATGAAATTAAATCCCTTGGATAAAAGTGACTTCTTATCACTTTTCAACCGATACGCATTTGCTGGAACAAATCCCCATAATCATGGGAAGCTGCAATCAATTGGCGAGCAAATAGCTGGAAGGCTTGGAGGCTTGCCGCTGGCTGCCAAGACGATTGGAGCGTTATTGCGTTCTAACTTGGATGACAGTCATTGGATGGATATTCTGCAATCTCGTCATATATCAGATCACGGACCACAGAGAGATGGTGTGATGCCGGCTCTGATGTTGAGCTACTATTATTTACCGAACCACCTAAGACCTTGTTTTGCATTTCTCAGCACCTTTCCTCAAGATCACCGGTTTTTCAAAGATGATCTAGTTTTAATGTGGATGGCGCTCGGCTTCATCCAACAATCTCCTCAGAATCCAGCACAGACACCAGAGGATATTGGAAGCCGCTACGTTGATGAGTTAGCCAAACTGTCATTCCTTGAACAATATGGTATGCTTGACGTAAATCCCTCAACTCTAAGATATGAAGAAGTGTACATCATGCATGATCTTTTGCATGATCTGTCAAGCAAAGTATCTCATGGTGAATGCTTTACGTTTGTTGGAGATACATCAATCAACCAGATCCCAAACACGGTACGTCATTTGTACTTTGAAACCGGTGATCTTGATCTTCTCAAAGATATGGACAAATGGAAGAACTTGCACACCCTGATTCTAAAATTCAATGGATACAATAATGAGCATGCCGCGGCTTTCCGACAAATGTTTGAATCACTAGAAAGCATTCGAGTGTTGCGCATCACTATTAAAGAAATGGAAGTGTTGCCGTGTGAAATAGGTAACTTGAGGCATCTCAGATATTTGTCAGTTCGTCATCGTTCTACTCGGTTGCCTAGTTCAATCTGCAAGCTTTACCACCTGCGGGTACTTGATTGTGGCAATATTGAAACTTCTCCAGTTTTGGTCTTGAATAACCTTATTAACTTGAGACACCTGCTGCCATGTTATCTTCCCTATGAAAACGTCGATGGGATTGGGACTCTTACTTCGCTTCAAAGGTTATATTTCAGTGCCGGTGCTTATAAACTTAGCGAACTAAAGGACCTGAGAGAGCTTCAGGAACTTCAGATTAGTGGCCTTCAGAACCAACGAGATGGCGAGGAGGTTAGTCTGGTTCAGTTACGTGATAAAAAGAGACTCCAAGTGTTACGTTTGGAATGGGATGATGATAGTGATGCAGCAGAGGAGTATGAAAAGGTGCTCGATTGCCTCCATCCGCCTGATAGCCTCAAGGAACTCCGAATTACACGGTACCGAGGTGCAAGGTCTCCATATTGGATGGAAAAAGGTTTGTTAAAAAATCTAGAGCGCGTTGTTCTTTACCAGAACACGGCATGGAAGCACCTTCCTTCTCTCGGGAAGCTTCCCTATCTCAATGAATTGAGATTGGATTCACTAACAGGACTCGTGCAAATTGGCTTTGAAGGTGGGTTTCAGCAACTGAAGATTTTACAAATCTGGGGTTGTCAACAATTGGAAGAGTGGTCCGGATTTGGAGCGGAGACGGCACCTTGCTGGCCTCTCCTCGAACATCTCGAAATCCGGGGGTGTCCCAAACTGAAGGCACTGCCTCCTCTGCCCCTAAGTCTACAGTACTTGGTGTTACGGGAAGTGGGATCGTCTGATTCTCCAACACTCTGCCCGGCTACCCCATCCTCGTCCTCATCCTCCTCTCCTTCCCTCGCTCACATGGAGATTGAAGAATGTAAAAATTTAACATCAGTGGCTGGCTTGTTGCGGTATCGCCTCACCAGCCTCAACACGTTGGAGATTAGCCGTTGCGAAGCTCTTGCGGATCTGCACGCAGGGGAAGGCTTTCAGCATCTGCACTCCATCGAAAGCCTAACGATTGAATATTGCCCAAAGCTGAAGATGGCTACCGACGCGGTCGCCCTTACTTCTCTTTCTCGACTTAGACTGTCAGGTCTGAACCACATAACATCCTTTCCCTCTGAAGAGGCGTGCAGAAGATTAACGTCACTACAAGTGCTGCGATTGGAAGACTTGGGAGGGCTGATGTCAGTTGAGGGTCTAAAGGCTCTTTCCCACCTTGAAGGGCTACGGATTGAGAAGTGTCCCAAGCTCATGCAAGCAGCAGCAGCAGCAGCGTCAATTAAGGGGAAGGAGGAGGAGGAGGAGGAGTTCACATTAAGCGTCGGCGATCTATGGATTGATGACCCCTTGCTGCTCCACGTTGAACCATTGAGAAAACTCACGTCTGTCAAAAATCTATATATATGGGACTGTGGGAATCTGGAGAGCGAGGGGGACATCGACCCGTGGTTGTGGCGCAACAGAACTTCGCTCCGATCCATCCACCTGGAAAAGTACAGTACTGCAAAGTCGCTGCCTCGTAGGGCGCAACAGAACTTCGCTCCGATCCATCCACCTGGAAAAGTACAGTACTGCAAAGTCGCTGCCTCGTAGCCTCCAAGCCCTCTCTTCCCTGGAGCATCCACCTGGAAAAGTACAGTACTGCAAAGTCGCTGCCTCGTAGCCTCCAAGCCCTCTCTTCCCTGGAGGGTTTAAAAATCCATGGAGCTTATCAGCTCCAATCGCTGCCGCGGATGCCTTCGTCTCTGGAATGGCTTAGGATCGATGGCTGCAACGAGACGCTGGTGGAGCGGTGCGCGGAGGACGAAGGTGCCGATTGGCCCAACATTAAACACATCCCTGAGATTGTTGTCTCAGAGTCAAATCAGTAGTAATTGCATTTGAGCCTGATAGTGACTGTTTTGTCCTATTTTGGGAGGTGTGTATACTTTTTTGACTTTTTCTTTTGTTTGTTTGCTTTTGTGCTCCTAGCAAAGCATCTGCCGCTACGCTTGAAATAGGGGACAAGACTTGATGTTGAGCCTCCTGGGTAAAATTTATCCTTTTAGTTTTTTTTTTTTTAAATGTTCCTCATGTTATCAATACTTGCTAGTGTTTTATGTTATTTTTGTAGCTATTGTCGCTCAATAATATGTCTAGCTCTAATCTTATGTATGTCTGGCTCTTAATTCATGAGTTCTTTATTTATCAAACTTCAGTTTTGTACGTGTTGAGCCACAAGTATTCAATTCGGGCTATAACCCTGCAACTCACAGCTAACATAACGTAGAAGCCGCTCGACGAGCCTGTTTACAAGATTTTCATGCTGCTCTTCATTTCTTACATAGACTTCTCAGAAGAAGGTAATTTGATTTTGCGTCTGTTTTCTGCGAGCTTCTTTAGCCGGTGCAGCTATTTCCTTTTCCTTTACCATGCATGAAGTTTGGCTTCTCATATCACAAACAAAAGGTGAAATTTATGATAAATCTACTCCTTATTTTGCATAATAGAGTTCCTAAGATGAAGGGCGAATTTCTTCGGTTAATTGCCTTTTTGTTTTGGTGATATGCAGTTCTACCTTCAAACTTCTTCATATGCCAATTCAGAGAGAAGATATGAGAGTAGAAGTTTGAATCTTTATGTGCAAACTTCTTTATTTGCCTCCCCGTTTAAGAAGCTAAATGAATATTGAGGTATTTATATATTTATTCATCTAAAATTTCAAGTCTGAATCTTTTAATTTCTTCTTTGTGTCAGAATTTGAATGTAAAGGTTCGCTTCCTGAGTCTACTACATATATAGGTTGAATTTCCCCTTTAGGTCACTACTTGATTGCCTCTTCGTTTGATGCTTTTTGCGTTAATGCAAGGCTATTAATGGCGTTATACGACCCAAGAATGCATTGATTTTCAATTCGTCGTCTACTCATCTTGACTGTAAATCACAATAAAGTCCTTTACGTTTGATGCTTGTTGCGTTAATGCAAGGTTCTTACTGGATTTTTTTTTTCTGTTTCATATTATAACTGAAGGGTAGAGGGAATTTTTCCTAGTTTCATATTGACGCTGTTCTTTAAGGGCCGGTTTTCTTTGAGTCAGGCTGTAATTTGATTTTGCGTCTGTTTTCTGCGAGCTTCTTAGCCGGTGCAGCTATTTCTTTTCCTTTACCATGCATGAAGTTTGGCTTCTCATATCACAAACAAAAGGTGAAATTTATGATAAATCTACTCCTTATTTTGCATAATAGAGTTCCTAAGATGAAGGGCGAATTTTTCGGTTAATTGCCTTTTTGTTTTGGTGATATGCAGTTCTACCTTCAAACTTCTTCATATGCCAATCAGAGAGAAGATATGAGAGTAGAAGTTTGAATCTTTATGTGCAAACTTCTTTATTTGCCTCCCCGTTTAAGAAGCTAAATGAATTATTGAGGTATTTATATATTTATTCATCTAAAATTTCAAGTCTGAATCTTTTAATTTCTTCTTTGTGTCAGAATTTGAATGTAAAGGTTCGCTTCCTGAGTCTACTACATATATAGGTTGAATTTCCCCTTTAGGTCACTACTTGATTGCCTCTTCGTTTGATGCTTTTTGCGTTAATGCAAGGCTATTAATGGCGTTATACGACCCAAGAATGATTGATTTTCAATTCGTCGTCTACTCATCTTGACTGTAAATCACAATAAAGTCCTTTACGTTTGATGCTTGTTGCGTTAATGCAAGTTCTTACTGGATTTTTTTTTTCTAGTTTCATATTAATTATAACTGAAGGGTAGAGGGGAGGATTGTGATTCAGGGTATAAATATTGACACTGGTTCTTTAAGGTTTTGAAGGTTACATATGCAAGTAACATATTTATTAAAGTGGTTGATATAGGTTAATTCCTATTTGGAAGATTACAATCTTTAACAACCAAGTATAATTGGTTCTTCAGCTCGCACTTTTCTGTTAGTACTTTGAACAAAGTAATTTATGCACTGAATAAGTCAAGTTTAGGTGCGGCTCCTATGACCAATTTTTCCTTGGTAATTATGAAAAAAAATGACTTTAAGAATGTCAACTAACAACAATACTTAAGATGAATATTATGACAGATCATTTTATATCTCATATATATAGATACTGCTCCTCACTAAGTGTCTTTCAAATTTTGGCTTTGTCACTAATGGAGCTCATGAAGCTACTGCTCAAAGCAAAGTTCTCAATTACAGGTTGTATTGTTTCATTTAGTAGGAGCCTATGATGCAGAGCTCTTTCCATACTACTACAGTAAACTGTGCCCTCTTGCTGAAGAAATCATCAGGTAAAATGTCAAGGTAGAGCAGTTTATTGTGACCCATTATTTTCAGCCAGCTCTCTTGAGACTCCATTTCCATGATTGTTTTGTTCTGTCTAATTCTTTGGCTAATTAATATTTTTAAATTTGAGTTCTTGTTATTGTTAAGTTTAATACTAATGTTGTGAGAAGTTTGTGTAGGGATGTGATGCATCTTTATGCCTTGATGACACATTTGCAATAGTCAGTGACAAGACAGCAGTTCCAAACTTGAATTCTATTCGTGGTTTTGAGGGGGATTGATAGAATCAAGTATTTGTTGGAGGAAGCTTGCCATTTGACTGTATCTTGTGTGATATTTTGGCAATTATTGCTAGAGATGCAGCTGTTTTGGTAAGTTTTGAGCACCAAGTTACATATTCTCCTATATAGAGATACATAAAAAACAGCAAATAATTCGAGATGGGTATCTTGTATTAATATTTGTAAATTCCTATTCTACAGTAATGACTGGGTTCATATAAATCATAAACTGTCAGTATGCTGCATGCCAATGGTTTTCCTTTTTTTTTTCTTTGCAGGTTGATATGGTAAAAAGGAGTCAGTATACATCTTTAGGAGTGTTAAAACTTTCAGCCTATGTAGCCATGTAAAATAACAAACGAACTTTCATATTTAGTTCCTGTGGATACTGCTTATGCTATGACTGAATGGAAAAAAAAACTTGGTCCACAATTTAGAAGTTGATAGTTTTTGACTTGTAGAAGAAGTTTAGTTTTAGTTTGAACATATAGAGATGGTTTTTTGCTTATGTTCTGTATGAGCCTACCTATGATTCATTGAGTAGGCAGGCCAGGTCCTATGTAGCATGGACACGGATCCGACACGGCCATCCGCACCGGCCATCCGACACGCCGACACAAGGCAAATCCTAAAAAATACATAGGATACGTGTGTTTCGACACGTGTGTCCGACACGGACACGACACGACACGGCTTCATGTTATGCGTGTCCGTGCTTCATAGGGCAGGTCCTTTATTTAGAAGGACATTTAGGTCTGTATCAGAATGTTTACATTCATCAGTACTGAGCTATATCAAACTAGATATTAACTGCTACAAGAGAACATGAATCGTTGTTATAATGTTTGGATATTGACTTCAAACTTTCTATTTAATCTTTCTATTTGTAGGATTATATTCACACGTGAATACCAATGGTAATTAACTGCAGGGAGTAATACCATTGGAAGACCAAGATGTTTTTTAGCCAGCATACGAAGGACCTCAATTGTCCCTTGAATACAGATGTTATACATTATGAAGATCTTTGCAGTCAATATGCCCCACAAATGGGAGATACAATGCCTCGGTCCCTCTAGACCTCAAGACTTTCAAGGTGGCTCGATAACCAATACTATCTCAACTTGCTTAGCAGCCTCGCGTGTGACGCCCGCCCCGGAATCCCGGAGTCGGTACGCTATTAATCTGATGGACTGGCCTCACAAACCACCACATGTCTTTTCAGCACGTTTTGTCCTCACTCACGCACTCCCTAGGAAATTCCCAGGGGGTCACCCATCCTAGAATTTCTCCAGGCAAGCACGCCGCTTAACTTTGGAGTTTCTAAGAGTTGGGTTCCCGAAAAGAAGATGCATCTTGGTGATATGAGTATTCCAATCAAATCTATCAATACTAATCACATCACCCTCTCAAGGGTTGGGGTATTAAAAACTCCCCCACTTAAACTCGCCAACGTCCTCGTTGCGCCAAATCATATCATTCAAGACCGTACCATCCATGTGAGATTCTAGAGGTGGCTCCTACGCCTCAAGAGGTGGCTCCCGCCTCTCGACGTAGCACTTTGCGCCGCATAGCACTTAGCTCTCACAATTCCGATTGGCTTTGCCTCTGATACCATTTGTAACGCCCCGCCCCGGAATCCCGGAGTCGGTACGCTATTAGATCTGATGGACTGGCCTCACAAACCACCACATGTCTTTTCAGCACGTTTTGTCCTCACTCACAGCACTCCCTAGGAAACTTCCCAGGGGTCACCCATCTAGAATTTCTCCAGGGCCAAGCACGCTTAACTTTGGAGTTTCTAAGAGTTGGGTTCCCGAAAAGAAGATGCATCTTGGTGATATGAGTATTCCAATCAAATCTATCAATACTAATCACATCACCCTCTCAAGGGTTGGGGTATTACACTCGGCTTGCTTCAGACTGATGCACCACTTGTTTCCGAGAGTGTAGAAGAGAGTGTCGTAATTATTCCACGAGTAATCATCATTAACACTTCGATTTGGCGGGATTTTCAGAGGGAGGATGATCCTAGCCGTCCATCTATCCCTCGCATTCTATAAATCAAGGTCTGAACTGGTAATTCTGATCTTTTACTTTCTTTTAATTTAGCTGTCACATTTAAGCAATCCGCCCGCTAATATGTTGTTGGTTTTGATTTCTAACATGTTTGATGAATGGTTTCCAGGTGGTCTGTTTCAGTCCGAAAGTGAGGAGAAGTACATGCTTTTCTTCACTCGCAGACACCCAATCAGTGCGCGCTCTCGGAAGTTTAACCGCAATGCTGGCTGTGGTTTATGGCACTGCGGTAGCAAAGACAAAGATGTCAAGCATGGATCTCAAGTTATTGGGTACAGACTGCAATTCACTTTTAAGAAGATCGGCGTCGGGAACCAGAAGATCCATACCAACTGGATTATGCATGAATTCCGCCTCAACAAAACGACAAACATTGATAGCTTGGTGCTTTGTAAAATATTTAAGAGGAAGCATGGTGAAGATCGGGAGATACAGATGGCCTCGGCGCTGTCATTGCTCTCTCTGATGTTTCTGATGGTGAAGAAGAAAAAGAGGGAAGATTGGCAAAGAGGAGGAGGATTGTGGAATCAGGTGGACAAAAGGGCTTGATGGCTGGTTATGCTGAGACATCCCCCAAGAATGCATCATCATCATCATCATTATCCTCATCATCATTGCATCATGAAGCACCTAGTGTTGCTGTTGAGAAACCAATTCAACGCCAAGAAGAAACAACAACATATGAGAGGCTCGAGAAGAGGAGGCAAGTTGAGAAACAAACACAACAACAAGCCAACATGGCCAATTACAGTGTGAAGAGATATTGTCGAGCAGACAATACTAAGGCAGCCGACCAACCTTCAGTATTCAAGGATGAATTTGCTTCACTGGAGGACCTTATCTGCCTTGATGACTTTCCACAATGGACTACGGAGTTTAATGCATCGCCTTGGGTGGGTGATCGTGATGAGACATCATTCTCGCCTTATGAAGAACAAACAGAAACAGAGGAAAGGCTCGAGATGAGGAAGCAAGTTGAGGAACCAGATCAACAGCAAGGCATCTTGGCTCATTACAATGAGGGCGCTACTGAAGCAAACAGCCAGTCTTCGCTGTTCAGTGCTGTATATGAGTCTCTTTTCCTTGATGATTCTTCACCACAGGATGCCGAAATTGATGCATCATCATCTTTTTTTCCCTTGGTCTGATGACGTTCAAAATCTGGGGCGGGCTGATCTTTACCATACGCTGATGGATTAAGGCTGCCCTCAGCTACATGACTGCTTGCTTACTGGTGGTGAGACATCCGACTTTTGTCAGAGGATTTTCAAAACTGATAGTGGTAAGATATCCAAATTTTTTAGCGGATTTTCATGAATTGCTTGTGTACAAAGAAGACCTCACCCCAATTAACTTCAAGTGACCTTTGTAGACCTCATCGATAACTAGTATAATCTTATAATGTAAGCTCTCTACAAAGGATGCATCTTGTGTTATTTCATTTCTTTGTTAAAAGAATTATTCATTCTTATTTGAATGGGATGTAGTCCAGTATCTTTTACTTTTACTTTATGCATGTTCTGCTTCTTAGTCCTTGTATGCATGTTTTTTTAGGTGCTCATTTGTATGTTTAATTTGCAAGATAATTTATCGTTTAATCATTATTCATGTTTGATTTTTTTTTTTTTGTCATTCTCATAATAACAGTTATTTTGATGCTGAATCTATTTGAAGTATCACGTAAGACTAAGATTTGGGTTTAGAAACTATGCTTGTGCTGGGAGAGATAATCAACAAACATATATCTAAAAGAACAAAATGATTACTGTCAGGTTGAGTAACTGAATATCCATAGTTTAACCTTCTTGAGTAACTGAATATCCATAGTTTACCCTTCTTAGCACTTGGAAGAATGTCAATTTTGCAGACTTTAATCGCTTCATACTCATCAGTCATTTTACACGATGATATGGCAATAGTTCTATACTGAGCAAGCCGGCTGAACTATTCACGATGTCACTTGTCACAATAATTTGAAATGCTAATAATGATAAACGTTTCATTTTGAACTTCTCCTTAATTAGAACCACAATCTTAATCTTATCTCCGTAATTAGAACCACAATCTTAATCTTAAATTAAAACATTTTATACCTCATGGTGTGCATTACGAAGTTATTTTTTAAGATAGAAAAAAAAATTCTGCTTTATTATATAAATGAACGTCCTATGCTATTATGTTAAAGAAGGACTTCAATTCTTTTTAAGAACATCTAGGATTCTGTCTCGTATCCTTATGTACGTATTCATTCTTTATTATATAAATGAACAGGGATCTGATCCCTTGTTTTTGTTTCCATAAAAGAAAGTGAGCTTTGCCAGAAGTTTTTATTTATTTATTTATTACTTAATAGCATTTTTTTTCCCAGAAGTTTTAAATGCTACTTCTTAAGAAATGCATTACTTTCATCATTTGAGCACCAAAATTTATTGCAGAAAGATGCAAGGTAGGCTTTTGTGTCCTTTGGGTCAATTATTATTTATGTCCGTCTCCTTGAAAATAGGCAAACTAGTAAATGAAAATATTTCTGCATCTAAGTGTAAATAGCTTTGTTGATCATACTGGAGGTGGATAATAGTGGTGAGCCATCACCTCCTCACTCCATGACATAGAAAGTATCATTTTTATTGTACTTAAGAACAATATGTTTACCTGGAATATGAGCAATAGTTATTTTAATGGAAACCTGGGCAACACTTTGCAGAATTTTTTTTTGGGAATCAATTCACCACTATAGGATTTTGTAAATAGAGATTTTACTTTTTTTGCGGATGATGAATGATCAGATCCCCCAATTGCAAGATAGGCGTATGAAACATCTATCAAGTGGGACTAAATGCATCCGAACCAACCATCTCAGAATTGGTATAACATTTCTTAAATATGTTGCACGAGGTTTTTCTGTGAATCTAAGCATGGAGAATCAATTTTCATTAAACATTCGTAGTGCCCTGATTGATATTATTGGGTGCTTGAAAGTTTAGACCAAGAACAGTGGACGTACACAGTCATTAACTCACGCAGATACAACACAAAGTCGACATTCTAGTCCTAAAACTCAATCAAATGTAGGATACAAGAGCATAGCCACATGAAATATATTCATATGTATAGATAATACACATCAAAGCCCATAGTGATAAGACATTCTGTAGAAATATAACGAAAAATAAGATGACATTCTAGTGAACCATATATGTGGTTTTATTTTAATGGTTAAATAATAATCTCAAAGAAAAACCTTGAACTTTGGGGTTTTTACATGTAAGGTGTCTCACAAAAGCCTTACCTGTAAACTTTCTCATTGGAGCCCCTATGTACAATTTGCAAATGCCAAAAATTTCCAAGAGAGAAGAAAAACCTCAATTGGCAGGTGCCGGGTACATTGCTTGTAAATACAAATGACTAAATTTGGGATTCTTCTCTCTCAAGAACATTTTACTTATTAGCTCGATATATTTGGGTTTTGTGAGAAAAGCTTAAAGATATGGGGTTTTGTGGAACACCCCAAATTTCATTGTGCTAGGGTGGTGTTTTTCTTTTTTTTTTTTTTTTTTTTTTTTGAGACAAAAAATTCAGAGGATTATGTGCAATACCCCTAATTTCAGCTGGATTTTCTAAAATTAACCGTTAAATATATAAATAAATCTGAAAACCAATCCAATATTGTACTACATCGCCCCTCACATGTTTGTGACATGCGTAGTTTTTGTGATAGTCTTGTTGGGGATTCGAAACAATCAAATCGAACCCTTGCCCTTCCGGACCTTGTGTTGAAAGTAGGAAAATTCACCACAAATAAAGATCAAAACTTGCAAGAATAATAAAGGAGACGAACACACAGATTTAACGAGGTTCGGCAACGTGCCAACGTCCTCGGGAGCCACACCACACAATTCCTTTATTGATTGAAGAAAAAATACAAGCTCTCAAACTAGGGTTTTATCTCTCTGAGATTCTCTCTTTTTCTGCTGTCAAAAGCTCTCTTTTTCATGTTCTACAAACCCTAAAACGTTTAGGTATATATATATAGAATCCTAAAAAAACGGAATCCAAAATAGTTGAGGAAACTGTCAGATTGCGTCGCGGTCGACCATGGCGGTCGACCGCGCAGGTATCGCAGTCGACTGCACACCAATCGCGGTCGACCGTATCAAAAACCCGAGACCAAAAATCCTACAGGGTTGGCGCGGTCGACC